ATTTTGTGGAATTTGTGGACGACATTCACTATGAGTGCTAGGATCATTATTAATCTTGGTAACATCTTTGCTGCTAGAATTTCTGCTGAAACTTGAATTGACAGGCATAAATTTCTCGTAACCTCACTACTAACAGGTTGACTATTTACACATACAGGTTGCTACCATTGCATGGTTTGAAGCCGATTCTGTATGTGGAAGTCACTCTGTCGCAATTCCTATAGTTCTAGTTTTGCCTTATATATTTCGTTTATTTCAATGCCTTCGGCAGTACAAGGATACTAGAGAAAAGACATCTCTATTAAATGGTAAAATACTGCACCTTGCCTTGTCTTTATTTCGTGTGTCGATGTGTTCAGTTTATTTGAGAATAGGGCATAAGATCAATTGCTCTCATCAATTTGCAGTGGCACTCGATTTTTTAGGCTCTAGCTATATTAGATAGAAAGTTTCCTTCACGTGAAAGGATTTGGTCAATTATGACTGTCATATTCATTTAACATGTCTGGAGAGCCCCAACGATAATATTTGACTGTCATCAAAATGAAGCAGTTTAGGATTTCCTTTTTTCTTTTGTTGTTTGATGTATGCGTCCCCGTTCTCCTCTGCGACAATGGGCATCAAAATTGAACCTGTAATTCATGGATCAGTTTTAGCCTGTAGATTTCATAACACATTAAAATCTGATTCTGTTAGCTTATTACACATTAAATTCTGATACTGTCATCGTATTCTGATTGACCATTCAGTTGTTCAGCCAATAGAGGAAGATCCATACTTCTTTCTGTTCTGGCACCCTCCTCCATTGACATTCTTTTCAATTCCTTCAATAGTGAAATTATAAGTGCGTAGTTGTAGCCTTCTGCAAGTGTTGATTGGAGATTTTGTATTATTTTGTGCTGTGAAAGATCCCATCTTTACAATTTTACTTGCATTTGCATCGTGCCAGTGAATCATTGGTTATAAATAAGCGGATGTTGCACTACCTTATATTTTGCTAATATATAGAAAATAATGTAATTTTGGCGAGGTTGCATGCCAAATGGTTAAAATCTCAGCATAAGATATAGTATTTTCTAATATATACGATTTTGGTAACCTTAACTATTAGTAGTTTCCTTCTGGTGTCTGTTCAAGGGAAGTTTTATTTTACTGTCTTCAAAATCTTATTTCTATGATTTATGTGCTATTGCCTTCATTCTTCTCTTCTTGCTACTCCCAGTGTCGGGCAGTGCTGATAATCATTTTGCAAGCATGATTTCATAATAAGATAATTCTTGTATAGAATTGTTGAGTCATGACGTCAAATTTTATCAGTGATTTGATTGCATCATGGCTGGCAATGACTATCTTACCTGTTTGTTTCAGCTTTAAAGTATTCGACGGCAGTACCAGTCATTTTTCTTTCAGCCCTCAAGTATCATGTCATCCCTGACAAGTGGATGAACGTCTATCGGCCTCTGTGGCTTCTCTCAAGTGTTTTGAATTCTTTGTATTCATTCTACTGGGACGTGAACCGAGATTGGGATTTGAGGTACGTGAGAACATAGTGTTATTGAAATCTAATTTTCAGATTTAATCGACGCTTTAACTATTTACAAGAAAATATTGTAAGTTCCTTTGTATGTGAGACCTACAGTTTCCTTCCTTTTATTATTAGTTCCTTGTGGTGGATGGAACTATGTTCGTAACCTTCTATTCTCTTCTTTTTCTCGCCAGTTGCTTCACTCGGATTTTCAAGTTCAGCAAACCAAGTTTCTTGTCCCACGCATTATATGGAAGGAAATGGGTAAGACTATAGCTCTTTTCTATTGTCTGTGTGTTCAGGAAAATGAATTCGCTGGTTTGCACAGTTATTCAGAATCCTTGCCTTGCCTCTATTAAGAATTTTAACAATTGTTCACATTGCCTAAAGGCTAACACCATCGTGGATAATGAGTACCCTTATTTTCGAGGATGGACATAGCCCAGTTTGACCCTGCAGCCCCAATTACAAATACCCAGACTTGGTTTTTTTAAATTTCATGGGTTATCTTCAAGGCTTCACCTCGTTGACCAATGCCCTCTGGACAGTTGGCCTCTATTGCTTAATGTTCGTGAACCCGCGCATTTGGCCTCAGATAAGTACATGCAAGTACTAAATCTGTGGTTGGCTCCTTGCAGGTTTTTCTTTGGGTAATTGGAAGCAATCTCATTTTGCGATGCACATGGACATACAAGCTGTCGGCCCATCTTCGCCACAATTACTTGACCGTGTTTACCATAACTGTCCTAGAGATGCTTCGTCGCTTCCAATGGGTATTTTTTCGAGTAGAAAATGAGTGGAATAAGATGAATTCCAAATCAAATATTCAAATGTCCATGACTGACACGTCGAATGAGGAAGACAAATTACTTAGTTCCATTGATCACAATGTATAGATTGCTAAACACTAGCAGGAAGTATCCACATTAGGCTAAATGACTTTGTCCACCATCCATCCATCCCATTTTTTATTATCATCAAGAACACACGTTTCTTGTTAATACTAGCTAGCATGATAGGGCATTCTGTTTTTGTCCTTTGAACGTTCTACCTTAAATTAAGGACATTTTTGGACTGCCATTATAAATTTTTGATGGCTAAGAGGGAGAAATCCATATTGAAATTTAAAATTTTACATTTTTCTCTCATGTTTGTTATCTTTCTTTGGTTAGAATAATTTTACAGTGGAAGTAGTGAAGTGGAATGGTCTCGATTGCCACACGAATTTTTGTGATTATGTATATAAATTATATCATTTTTTTAGATTCTTTAAGATTCATTTTCCAATAATATAAATCATACTTTTCCCTTTTTTTAATCGCAAATTTTTAAAAAAATCACTTTTTACAAAATTTATCCGTCTTTTACTACCACTGCAGTGAAAAATCGAAATTAAGAAATAATAATAAAAAATATATATATAAACAGATGATAACGTGGATATTATAGTATTACGTCCTTCACATGTTTCAGTTTCACCAAGTGGCGGCCATTCCTTCCCCAAATTGCATAAATACCTGAATTAAATATTAGTATAAATTTTTGAAATAACAGGCGCCATTAAAAATTATGAGAGCACAACTGGAGTTAATTGTTACAATGGCCTCTAAACTTATGTTCATGTCTTCAATTGCGCACGAAAGTTTAGAATGTCGAGGTTTGTCCATTAAACTTTGGAAAACGTTGGACGTTACTTACTAATATCACTTCTGTTTAATATCTTTTATGGAATTGGTTACGTGGCTGACGGAATGCATACGTGAGGTTCTCTCACGCCGTTAAACTTTGAGATTGTCGAATTTCAACCATTAAACTTTGGAAAACGCCTATGATTGTTCATTAAATTTTGAAAAATGTTTTCTATTACTTATTGAACTTTAAGGTTGAATTTTGGCCACTAAACTTTGAAAAACGTCCTCTATTTCTCACAATAAATTTGAATTTAATTAAAAGTCATTAAAATTTGGATTAAAGTCAGAATTTAATTTAATTCTAACTATTGTGTATTTCGTTGTAAATTCATATATTAAAATTCAAATTTAATTTAATTTTAATAACAAATTTATCGTGTATTTCATTGCAATTAGTAGTCACTTCCTTTGCACAGCTTTGAAAGCATTGTCTATCATAATATTTGAATTTTGCAACGAAATATAAAATAAATTTATTAAAAATTCAAATATTAAAAGTAAAATTTAATTTAATTTTAATAACAAATTTATTGTATATTTTGTTGCAAAATTCAAATAGTATGATAGACAATGCTTGAAAAGCTGTGCAAAGGAAGTGACTATTAATTGTAATAAAATACACAATAAATTTGTTATTAAAATTAAATTAAATTTTACTTTTAATATTCAAATTTTACAACAAAACACAAAATAAGCCCTATTTGATCATGATTAAAATCAGATTTTTAGTAGATTTTGATAAAAGTTTATGAAATGTGTTATTGAAAGGTTATGGATCCCATAAATATGTGGTTAAAATTAAATGTTGACCCTGAGTTTGATAAAAATTTAGATGTTAATTCCTACCAAATTGTTGTTAGAATTAAATTAAATTCAAATTTTAATCCATAACTTAACAACCAATTTTAAGTAAATCCAAATTTGGTGTGAGCAATAGAAAACGTTTTTCGAAGTTTAGTGATCAAAATTGGATCAACTCAAAGTTTAGTCAGCAATAGAAGTTTTTCAAAGTTTAATGAGCAATTTAAGGCTTTTTAAAAATTTAGTGGCCAAAATTCGATTATCTCAAAATTTAATGGCCAAAATTCAACTATCTCAAAGTTTAAAGACCAAAAATCTACCATCTTAAAGTTCAGTGAATGGTAGAAGATATTTTTCAAAATTTAGTGAGCAATCAAATGTATTTTCCAAAGTATAGTGATCAAAACTAGACCATCTTAAAGTTTAAAGACGTGATGGGATGCCACGTGTACGTTCCGTTGGCCACATCATCAATTTCGTTAGAATTTTAAACGGAAGTTACACCAATGAGTAACGTCCAACGTTTTTCAAAATTTAGTAGCTTTTTTGACATCTCAAACTTTAGTGAGTAATTAAAAATATAGACATAAGCTCAGTGACCACTAGAACAATTAACTCGAGAAGTGCATGTGCTTAAGCAGAAAGTTGGGTTTTTGACGCCATGTTTTGTCGTTTGTCTTGTTATCACAACCATTTTGATCTTGTGGCTTCTGCTTCTCACTGTTTTCTTATTCTATTACCCCACATTATCTGTTTTCTAGTGTTAATTCCTTCAAACCTATTTCAGAGTTTGATACAAACCACTAGATTTTCAACGTTTGCGTAGATTTGTTATAAAATCCAATGTACACTCTTAAGAACCTGCCAAACTGAAATAGCATTGGATTCTTGACATGCATGAATTAAACTCTTTATGTGAGTTTTGTCAATCTTTGAAGGTTCAAGAATTTCCCGCCCAAGGGTTGGATTGCGTTCGTACATAAATGGAGAAATTTTTGGAGAGGGAAAATGTTTTGTTGCGATATAGTCCTCGTGGGTCATTAGCACAGAGCAGTAACTCAGATGAATTGGATTTTAATGATGTTTTTGGCGGTCCACCGAGGCGGTTTTCGATGCCAGAAGTGAAAGGGACGTACAGTTTTGGTGAACCAGTGGATTCCGAGGAGAAGCCAGTGTTTGGAACAGAAGTTGTGACAAGAAGGCGAAATCTGGGTGATGGTTTCTTTAATGATATATTTGGAGGTGATGAGTCTTATAGTTCACCGAGGAGGACTGATCGTGACCGGGAAAATACCTTTGGCTCGAGCCCTGGTTCAAGGATTTCCAGCCCTGGCAGGGCTTTGATACCCAAAGCTGAGGCTTTTGGCACTTCACTTCCGGCGCAGTTCAGGTACACTTGCTGGTTCATCGGTTTGTGAACGTCCTTTTTCAATATTGTTACAAACGCGATTGGTAAAACTCACCATTAGAATTGGTTTTTAAGGAAAGTCTGCGCAACACACCTATAAATCCTTGAGGCAGACCATTTGGATAACTATACGAACCAATCTTCTACTGGACGTAGCCCTCTACGAGGATCTACAAGATATTTAGAACTGAGCGAAGTAGGATTGAAACGTAGTCATTGGAAATATGTAAAATTGTTGGAACTGGGAGTCCTCTGTATTTGAAGATATGGATTGTTCTTTTTCAATATTTCAACTGATTGGGTAAAAAATGACTTGGTAGAATTAAGTTCTATGAGAAAGAATTTAACATTTCCCTTGTTATTCATTGATTATTAGAGCTTAATCTCTTCTTGTAGATCTTGAAATTTCATTTTCTTTTCATCGTGGGTTGGGGTGTGGGGACATTCATAAAGAACTTGGCACGCGTTTAAAATTTGGGGACGTAGAAATGTCTCATGGCCTAACTGAGTATTGCTTACTTTGAGGCTTTCTTTTGGTTGAGGAATTCTGATGTTATTAAATAAACAGTAGAAGCCAGATCTTTCACCTACTTAATAGTTAGCTGCTAAAATTCGTCTAGTTGTGTTGTGTGCTACATCCAAATTCCAAAAATTCTATGTAGATGTTACTTTGTATTACCTTTTTTTGTTGAATATGCACACCACGTCTCTTCTTTATATGTAAATGCTTTTCTGTTTCAGTCTTCCTGCCAAATTGATAAAAGCAACAGACTACCCTACATTTGCTTCTGGAAATCGTAGACCATATAAGATGGATGGCATTACAAATGGTATAAGCAGCTCCCACTCTTCAAATTCTACTCCATCTGGATTTTCAGGTCAAGCAATCTCGGGACAGGAGGAGACGAGAAATGATCTTTCAACAGTACATCACCACAGCTCCTTGTCCAATGAAGTTTCCCTTAGCAACGAGGATTCTACACATTCTGGAATAACTGATCAGAAAGATGTTGAGAAATGGAAAAATGATTCAATAAGCGTGGAAACTCAATGCAAAGGCAATCCGTTTCATTTCTCTATATACAAATGGGCAGGAAGAGAATTACCAATGCTTATTCCACTTCGACGTGGGAAGGTTTCGAAATTGAAAGAGATGAGTAAAATTGAAAGGTCTGCAAGCTCTAATGGAAGGATCGAAATTATGGAGCCAGAATTGTCTACAGTGGAAGACCTTGGGATTTCAACAAATATTGGGGTCGAGTTGAAATTTGAAAGTGAGAAGCATGATGATAGAAGCACACAAGATTCGGTTCTAGTCATGACTGGAAAAGAAGCTAATTCCCTGCAAAAAACAAGTGCAGGAAAGAGAATTGAAAATGTAATCGCTGTGAAGACTGGCGAATCTCACAAGCCAGAAGTGAAGCCTCTGCATGCATTCATTGATGAGTTTGAACAACAAGGTAAATCATATTTATGCAAGAAGTTCCAATGAACGCATTTTGTATTATATTTTATATATTTGAATTCTAATGCTAAAGTATTTTTAAATTTGAGGAAATGTTACAGAAGTGAGAGGAAATTCAAACAACTTACTAAAAGAAGTTAGTCCTGATGTCCATACAGATAAAGTGAAGATTAAGGAACGAATAATGGGCTTGGACAGAACACGTGCGAATAAAGCTAGCCTGCGAACTTCACTCATAAATTCAGAAAAAGTTCCTGGTAGAAGTGGAGTCAAAGGAAAGGTCAAAGAGTTTGTCAAGATTTTCAACCAGGAAGCTTCTTCAAGATCAAAAGTTGATCCTGAGACTCCAAATCAGAGCTCTAGATGGAAAGGCGTAGGCATAACTCAACAAGAAATTGAAGTGAATTTGAATGCAGCAAAATTAAATAATGAAGTGCCCATGTGCAGTGTAAATATGATGCCAGATGTTTCTCACTGGGTAATTGATTGCATCCACTGGATTTGAAGTAATTTGATTCAGTGTACATAGTAGATTAGAAGTTTATGGCTTGATTTTTCCCGAATAAAATTAGTATTATTTTGGAACTATGATCGTGGATGTGTAACCATCCTTTCTTATCATTTTCAGGTTAACAAAAATCTCAGCAATGATGAAGCAAAACATTACTCTCATACAAAGACCCCAACTAATCGAAGTAACCATTTTTCTAATGCTCAGAAGGATTCTATACCATCTGGTTAGTTAAACTTACATATGTTGAATAAAAATAAAAGATATGAAGCATTACAAGTTAGTCAAATGTAGGAAGTGTTTATTCATTTGATGTAATAGGTTGTGGATATATACTCCTCTTTTTGTCAACTTTTATTTTTATTCTGAGTGATGATCATGTACTTGGAACAGAGTCTCTACCCGTTGATTCTAAGGTTTCTGCTGAAAATGCAGATGAACCTTTCGAAGTCAACTTTGTGGTATGTTGTTTCTTTATTGTTTGTCAATTGTGCATATTGGTTTTTGTATTATCCAGTCAATTGTATTCTAAACGATGTTTTAATCTTATGGATTTCGATTTTTGGCCATTTTATATGTCATGGTTTATCAGATCCAAGAATTGTCTCATGATGACAACAAAGTTACAGTTGATGGAAGTTCTGAGGACATGAAAGTAAGTTACTGCAATGCAATATTAGCGGTCTGTAATTCTTGGAACGCAACAACAATTCTCTATAATGTAATGTAGGCTTCAGATGCCAAGATTCGACAATGGTCTCTTGGGAAGAAAGGAAATATCCGTTCGCTGCTGTCAACTTTGCAATTTGTAAGACTTTTTTATCCGTTTTCCATTTTAGCATCCATTTATGGGAAACAAATTCCTTTCGGCTTTACACATGATTGGAATTTCACAAGACTTCCTTGAGAAGTAAAAAATATCTCCTAGGACTTCAACGTTTTCTTCTTTTTAGTTAGGAAAGAAGAAGTTTGTAATGGGGAAGCCAATTTTGAAGAACTCTTTCATTCCATTTTCATATTGATAAATGACATAAACAAGATGAAGTTTACCTTTTACTGTAGGGATTTAGTAATGTTTACAAATTCCTAATTTTCATCTAGATAAAATAAAAATTTATCTTTATCGCTAACAACTGGTTCAGGTTCTTTGGCCTGGGAGTGGATGGAAGCCAGTACCCCTTGTTGATTTAATAGACGCAAATTCGGTGAAAAGATCATATCAAAAGGCTTTGCTCTGCCTACATCCAGATAAATTGCAACAGAAAGGAGCCGCTACTCATCAAAAATATATTGCAGAAAAAGTGTTTGACATTCTGCAGGTATCGGAAGAAGATTAGTTGATACTATTTGATCTACTGCCATTTTCTACGGTTCATAAAAGGAGAAGAAATTTTGGTAAGCATAAATAAATGGCTTTTGTTAATGCAGGAGGCATGGGACCATTTCAATACAATTGGCTTGTAATTGTTCAATGCTCAAAGGCTATCTATATTTTGAGAGATCAAAGGTATATATATGAAATCAGCTTGGAAAATAATCACACTGTTTGTTTACAGAAAATGGTTACAAAGACTTTTTGTCAAAATAATTTGTTTGCTTTGTTATAGAATACTTGAGTTAAGGACACAGCAGCCATACAATATCTGTATTACTTCGTTTTTTTTTTTTTTTTTTTGGCAAAAAACCAGTTGAATTGAATTGCAAGATGGTTTCGTGTGTGGAAGTAGTCAATTGACTGAAATACTCCTCACTTATCAATCACTTATTTCGATCTAAATTTTGATTCTTCTTACTGATAATTTCCTAAAATTTTACATGACATCTCCTTGAATAAGATTCTGTTTGTTATTGTTGTTTCTGTTGATTGGATTGGTCACCAAATCTTTGACTTGAAATTTTGTCCCCTGTAAGAGAATTCAATTATTTGCTTTGTGTTGTTTTTCTTTTTATTCAATCATTCATTCTTGTTTAGAAACAAACACTTTATTTTGTTGACCAGAGGCAGGTAGGCACAGAGTAACATGATAATAATGCATCACTGTGACAAGTAGACCAAAGGATAATCATGCATCAAGCACTACATGTGTCGTGACACAACTCACCTATCTAATAACAACAAATCAAAATAATTTCTTGGAAAAGGGACAAGTCCATTTTCAACCCTACATGTCTTTTGGGACATCCAAATATCATTTCAACTATTTGCTGGAGAATCATTTTAAATAAAAATAAATGCAGTGTTTTTTTAACGACTTAAGATTTAATTAAAACAATATATGCACCACCTCCAGCTTTTGGACACATGGTTCAATACTGTTTAATCATGGGATGTCGAGTGATAACATCTTATAGAGGAAGAAGAAATTATATACATGGGCATCTACGGCAAAAAGGGAAATCTTGTGTTACAATAGAAGAAGTGAACGGATCTCGGTTGATTCCTCGTTATTGCTCAAAGGGGTTACTACTTTCCAAGTACCTGCTACGTCCATTTTACCAAACCAACCAACAAAGTCGAAAGAATCTACAATCATGGTGGTTATTGCTCAAATAGCAACATCCATTATTACTTGAACAGTAAGAAAAAGCTATATCGAAGATAATGAAATGCATCTATGAATTAAGCCAATCCTCAAAGAGTTCCACTGTGGATAAATTCCCACTGGCCCTCAATGAAGATGACAATTCTTCAGAAAAACACAACTATCTACAAGTAATGCTTGTAAAAGATAACCCCAAACAATTTAAAGGGGAAGACAGCAATTACTCATAACAGAAAAAAACAGAATAAAGGATTAAAAGAGCCAACTGAAAAACCAATCCATCCTAAAAATAGAAATTGGTTCATATTCCAACCTCATAGTTCTTTCACCTCCGAGACCAAATTCTTTTACCGCAAGCAGGTTTACTTTTGACAGCAACGCTGCCAGTTTTCTTGCATCAAGTTACAAAGAGATGCCATTAGAGAATCTCGGTTTTGTCACCGTTTCAGCACAATTCAATTTCGTCAATTGCTTACATCCGGGTGTTTCCACTTCCAAGAGTAAGCTCGAGATCATCCATTCCCACCTCATGAATCCTTTCGCCTTCCCATGGCTTCACAGCAACATTCTCAAAGTCGAATTCTATACCCTTCCCCTTCTCCGACATCACTACATCTTGGGAAGGAACACGGTTTGCGATTGGTTTCATTAGATTAAATGTTGGAGAAGTTGGAACCATGTTGGCTGCATTTGCACAGACTTGGAAGTTCATCCATTGGCAAGAATCAATAGTGGACGTGTCTGACTCATCGCATTCAGGTATAGTGGCTGGCGTAAAACGCCGAGCACGAGTAGGACTTGCGGGGGCAGAAGCTGCAAAGAAAGGGATATTCAAGGCAGACATGGATTCTTTGGCAAGAGACTCCAGAGTGAAAGTTTGTTTAGGGAGCCTAGTCGGTGAAGAAAGAGGGGGTGTTACCGGGGCACTGTTTGATATTCGGAGTGGAGGAAGAGACGAAGGGAAAGAGTTGAGAAGGAAACCATATGGGTGTGATGATCCGTTGGCGTCTTGCCGGGATGGGCTTGGGAACGAAGAGGACGAGGGACTAGGTTGGTACGATGGAATCGGACTCACAAAATACGAAGACGGTGGACTCGGGTTTCGGGATGAACTAGGAGTGATGTTGGTTGAAGTGCCTCCCATTTCCATTGGAGGTGGCTTGCATCCCTGTATTATATGCAAATCCAAACCTCCGTTACTTTAGTATTCTTGAAGAGTATAGTATATCATCTTTACAAAGAAAGCTCCAATAAATAATTAAATAATATATATTCAGAAATTGAACTCTAAATCCAAATTAAGGATACAATTAAGTTTCACAATTCAGAAATTTTACAACTAGAATATTCTAAACCATAGCCTGATTAAAAAAGAACTAGTTCTTGAAATTAACTACTTCAATTGTTCATTTCACCCAGTAAATCTTTCTTATATATATATGCTCAAAAAAAAATATGAGCAAAGAGAAAGGAAAACCTCGTTTTAATTCGATTTACCAAAATCGGAAAATCGAAGGAAAATCAAAGCAAATAGGGAAACCCACATCTAAAATCTACAGATCTAAACAAATCAAAGCAAAGTTGATTACTACAAATGAAGAAAACCAATAAAGATCAACATATATATACAAAAAAACACAGATATACAGAAAGAAAAGGTAAACTAAAAAGGGAAAACAGGAAAGTTCACCTTACGATAGGTGGTGCCATCAGGCTCCACGATCCAACCGGCCTCAACACAGAGAGCTTTCAAGACTTCATTGTTATCACAGTGTTTTGGAAGATTGTAATTCCCTTGTGCCCTTAATCCTGCATAAATCTTGGCTGCTATTGCTCTCCTCCTCCTCTCTCTCCTCCTGTTGTTCTCCCTTTCTCTCCAAGATGGTTTCCTCCTCCCTGCACCACCACCATCACCTCCTATACCAGCTGCTGAAGACGATGCTGATGATCCTCCAGCTTCCCACATCATTTTCTTGGCTTTCTCTTCCTAAAACTCACACACGCACCCAAAAAGAAAAGAAAAATATATATAGAAATTCTCCCTCTCTCTGTTGTCAGTATATATAATATGAGGGGTGAGGTTTGTAGGTAATAGTAGCGTATATTGCGTTGCTGGGACTCCTGTACTCACGAGGAATACGCTTCCAAGTGTGGAAGAATCTGTGTGCATGTATTTTGACAGATAAAGTTCTTGGAAGAGGAAGTTTATAGTGTAAAGCAATAGAAAAAATATACTCATATTTCCGGTCTGAGCGATTTTCAGTGGGCCCGCCTGATTTTTTTGACCCTTTTGATTCAAACAATAGTAAAGAGGGACCTCAGATCGGAAAAAAGCAAGGGTGTGAATTGATAAAGTGATATTTATCGTTGGCATGGAGTGGGGTGGAGTGGGGTGGGGTGGGGTTTGTAAGAAAATTTGCAAAAGAACGAATAATGTCCGGCAGATTTGGACCAGAGTTGTCTCCTCGGGTGTTTAACTGGTCAACCACCCAATCAGATGCTGCCACCTCAGTTATTTTCTGTTAATATGGAATAATTCTGTGTTTTTCTTTTTGATGAAATCCCTCAAATAAACATTAGAGCCATGTCTGTAACAGTGTATTCTAATGTGCTAATCTTAAAAATAAATTCCAAACACAAAGTTACATAATTACATTAGCATACAAACATAATGTCTCTGTTACATCACATGGATTCCAATGAAATTTTGTACATCTGATTTACATACTATAGGCAGCGAGAGAAGAAAGTCTGTACCACGTCGCCACCAGCCATTGCCCTTCTCACATTCGATTCAAACATTTTTGGGTTTTCTCTCAACACGGAAGCTGCATTGGGATTGAGAGGATCCTCGTGATTTGTTTCTGTGCATACACAACCTCCAGTTAGTGATATTACAAATTTAAATTTCTTTGCATCCAAAGTATAAAATTAGCGTGAAAAGGTGTTACATGCTGTAAATAATTGTGTTTATGTTCAGCATAGGCTTCCATTCTTCTCGAAGAATGTTAAGGCAGACATTTCCTTCCAACTCAATAAATAGATAGGGTGGTACACCTGCAACGAGCAAGAATAATTCCGTCAATGGATCTTTGCAATATTAGTCAATAAATAGATAGGAATCAAGGGTGCGTCTACTTTTGTCTTGCATTTCACCTTTGGCATGAGAATAGATGGAGAAATTTGGAAGGAAAAAATAAAGGTGCCACCCCTGAAAATGAGCAACTATTCAATGCACATGGTGCCAAGTAATGGAAACATTATAGATAAGCAAAATATATTATGACCAGGAGTTGACGAGTGAGTTTTACAACAAACATTAACAGGGAAGTTATACTTACAGATAATATCCGTCATCAAGCTGGAGGGTAACTTCGAAGTTCATGAGGTCATCCTTACCGTTAGGGAAGGATATGCTACATGTTTCCAGTAGATTTTGTTCACTTACATCTACAACACCAAAAAAGAGGAATAGAAGAAGTAGATGTTATTTATCAACTCCATGAAATATGAAGTGTAAAGGAAGAAGAAAGGTGTAAGGGGGTAGAGGGGGGGAGGAAGCTTAAGGGTCACTTATACAAAGTGCCAAATAGGAGCAAATTAAGGACGTAACAGCATGGAAGAACATTCTCTGTGGAAAAAAGTACTTTTTTGGGTAGAAAAGAGAAGTGCTAAAATTCCCTTCACAATAAATTGCAAATCCTAAAAAATTCTCCAAAACAACTCATTTATTCTAAAAACCAAGAATACTTACATTAGGAAATGCCTATAAAGGTTATTATATAAAAGAACAAACATTTTCTATGCATTAACATAAATCATTTCATATCCTGCAGAAAAAAATAAGATCAGGGCCACAGAGAAAGTTCTATGACAAAAAGTAGCATATTGAAGAACTAAGAATAAGATAATGAAAGACATTCTCCAATGAAGAAAAGTACCTGTTGGGTTAGAAAAGGGAATTGCCAAATTTTCATTCAAAATAATTTGCAAATGCTAAATATTAGTTTTCTTTTGAAAATTTCAAGTGAAAAGCAGTCATCCAAAATACAACTGAAAAGGTTCTTATGTAGAAGCACATTTTAACAGTAATTCTTTTATAGATTACTAGTGATTTTCTTTTATTAACATTTGACTCATTCAACCGCCAGATTTGTATATAGAAAAAATCCATATCATAAAATATACATCTAGCAGCCACTATCTTCCCATCCCCACGAAGGACAAACTGGTTACATAAATTTCATTTCATATTGTGTTTCATCTCAAAAGCATGTTAACACGGAAACAGGAAGAAGAGTATTGACAAGATTTGTAAAAGGGAAAAATGTCAGCAACATCACGGTACAAGAAAGATATTAAAAACTGTCTCCTACAACATTGTGAGAAAGCAATTTCCAGCTTTCAAGTTCTGAACTTAATTGTGAGATGCAACATGTCATGAGTAGGCAAGTGTAGACAGGCATCCTGCAAGAAATATATTCGATGAAGATTCATTTAACACGATTGGAAAGTGGCATCAACACTTGTTGCATCACAACGATTTTTAAGCATTTATAATTAAAATTATTAGAATGTGAAATGATATGATGTTTAGGGGTGGGCAAAAAACCCGAAAAACCGATTTGGGTCGGTTTGAACCAAGAAATAGGATTGGTTCGGTTAATTTTAACTAGAGGTGTCAAGACGGACGGGTCGATCAGACCAGTGAAAACCGGCCTGGATCGACCCTGGACCGCGAACCGACCCGTGACCCGAGTGGGCGGGCGGTTCACGGGTCAAGAAGGTGTGACCCGCTGGCCCGTGAAATTTTTTTTTTTTTAAATTTGAAAAAAAAAGGGGAAAGAGTCAACCTAGTTGGGATGTACTTAAACTATAAATTATAATAAAAGTAGGTGTCAACCTAATTGGGATGTATTTATGCTATAAATATTTGATAATAGTAATTAAAAATACATTTAGTTGTTATTTGTTTAAGTTAAATTTAAATTTGCAAAGTTATAAATAATTCATGTAATATTAAATTTGAATTCTATGTAAACATTTCTTGCTATAAATATGAATTTATCATTTTGTTCAATTCTTAATTTACATTTAAAAAAAAAATATTTTTTGCTATAAATATGAAATATTTTATATTTTTATAATTTATTCATACAATAATACGGGTCAAATCGGAACAAATCGCGACCCATAACACGCATGGGCTTGACCCGGATGGGTCAACGGGTGGGCCTGGCTTGTAGTTCAAAATTTGTGGGACGGCCCAGAACCCGTAGTGGGCGGGCTTTTTTTTCACGCGGTCCGTTACCGGGCTCATATGTTGGCGGGCCGACCCAGCCGGACCACCCGAATTGACATCTCTAATTTTAACCATGAAAAAAGTCAAGTCGGGTTGGTTATGGTTTAAGCAACCAACCCATCAGTTAACTAACCCAATCCGCTAATCCATTTTTTTTATTTTTAAAATTTATATTTTTTAACATAAAAACAAAATAATAAAAATACAAGTATAAATCTTTCTCAAATAATTTGTTTACCATCTACGCTTATTCTATCAAAACTATAAATTACAAAAGAAAAGAAAAGTAGGTAGAAGAATTGATTATTGTAAATTTCAAATTCAGATTATAGTCTTACTTTTCATTTTGATGTAATTGTTTTTTGATAACTATCAAACATATAGGCAGATTTTAGGAAAATCGACAATTTATATTATTGATACGCACTTGCAAGAAAAAATATATATTTATAGGAAAATAGATTTTTTAATTCAAATAAGTAAACAAATTTTTTTAACCTGCCAAACCGACTCAAATCGATATGGTTTGGTTTCAATAACTGGATTGGGCTAATTTGGGTTGAAATTTACCCAAGTCGGTTTTGATTTTAGGTTGGACTCAAAACCAACCCAACCCAACCCGAACCATGCCCAGGCATAATGATGTTGGTACCAATGAGTTCTCAAAGATGTCATTCCTTTTAAAATGGAAGTTTAATTTTGTTCATTACCTATATATATTCAAAATGTGTTAATTTTCTTTAGTCGATTATATGAGCATTCTTTTCTCAAATTTACATTTTATATGATTTATGTGAATAGAGATTGACTCAGACAAAAAGAAGATATAAATCATAGATACCTTGTAAAGTGAGTAGGGGCAACTCTTTATAGATTAAATATGTCAATTGTCAACCTTCATAGTATGGGATAATTTATCTTGACCCCAAAATGAAATTTTGGATCAAGCATATTAGTGTCTTAAATGAGATGAAAATACATTAAACAAAATTTAGTGAGAAACCCCTTCTACAATACTATTGCTTTGATTGGTCTTGTCTAAGCTAATAACTCATGTATGTTCTAAATCTTTAAAAGATCAATAAACTTAAATCGTAGGATGAATTTCTTTGAGATGTCAATGAGTAAGATCTTTTTATTTGTTAATACTCTCGATATATTGATGATTAGTGTTTATAGTTGCTTCCCAATACAAAACCATGATATCTCTTTCAGTTGATTTAATGGGTATGATTATTAAATCTATTTCTATTATAATTTACAATAAGAAATTTATTTGAAATTAGATTTGTTGACTCCAAGATTTAAATAATATACATATGACTCTTAACGGCTTAAGTTTTTAGATAAAGTGATTTAAATGATATCAAAACTGGCAGAGGTCTTTATTTCAAGTCATGCCGACATTTTTGGTACCGTAAAAAAATATATGAAATTTCATGAAGCATGATTATGTTGGATGCATGCATTATGTTATTTCCCTCGTGTGACATTTTGTGGCATGCAATTGAGTATGAATTTGAAATATGGAAACTACTTCCTCATTAGCGTGGTAGAAAGAAGTATTTAGATCACCTTTTTCTTTCTGTATTATGTCATGTAAGGTTTTCCTATGAATATCCTAAAGATTAAGAACTATGGGGTTTCTTCCAGGTAATGGGCATATCTTAGACGTTTCAATGACATAATTGTTGGCCTCGACGAGCAAGCAGTGGAGTAAAGTAATGAACAAGTTTAATAGATTGTAGAGGAAAGAATGAATTTCAAATATAAGATAAAAATCTAATTTTCAATAAGCGATGAACATGCATCCAAAAAGCATCCGTCAAGTATGACAAATGCAGACTTAGCATGGCAACTATTGTACACAATCTGATGTTTACACCCATGGCAATAAGGGTCCCGCCTACATGACCAATGCCCATCCGAAAGGTCAAACCTGAAACTCAACTTGTTCCACACTTGTCGACTAGAGCATACGACTTAGTAAGCCTCATCATCAAGGTTCAGGTGAGGCCAAGAAGGAACGAGCTAGAAAAAGGTAGTGTGCAGACCCCCTTAAGGAGCAAATGGTCTAACAGACCAGCTAAGCCAATCAACAGACAATCAGATAATCTAAATGCCTACATGATTCCTACACACCCTTCTCAGCCAAAGCCTAGCCAAGTCCAGAGGCTGAGCAAGCTGGCAGTACCGCAGAAAACACTTCAATAACTTACTCACGGAATATCTTTTGGCATTAGCGTGTCCAGAACACCAGCTCAGTGCCATGTTCACTTTAGGTACCAACTAACAAGACTTTCAAGCATTCTAGAGAGTGTAAATTTGTCCACTCCTACTTTGAGACACTAAACACTGTACAGAAAATTTGCCAAATCATTCTCTTAAGTAAAATACACAGTCTACTTGAACATCGAGTATGATCGGCCATTCATTCCTCACTTTGTGTGAACTCAAAATGGACAAGCAAACTCACAAGCGGTTTGTCATGGAGAATTTATACAGGCTTCAAACCTCTTCAGAGGCATTGGTGTTCAGGTGACAACAAATTTACAATGAGCACTAAATCGGTGGTCGTGTAGAATTTTTTGCAGAATGAAATTATATATGGATAGGAAGAATGAGATGAAAAGAGAATAACTTGGCAGTTGACTACATCAACACTCCAATGATATTTTTGTTCAGTGCCTTCCTATAAAGTTCTTTCGACTTATTCTCCATTTCATGCCTTTAAGGGATTAAAAGCAGCAAAAAGTGATGGAGATTTCACTCACAATCCC